ACCAAAATCGGGGAAATTGCCCCAAAAACCTCCCAGGAATGACCCCAAATCCCACAGAAATCGCTCAAAACCATGGAAACCACCCAAAAAATAGAGGGAAACAATCCCAATATCCACAAAAATCAACCCAAACCCTCCCAAAATCCCCGGGAATTGCCCCAAAAAAACCCCTAAAATTCGCTTGGAAGGACGAAAACCCCCAAAAAATGGGGGAATGAGCCCAAAAAATCCTTCAAAAAGCAAAACAAAGGCTCGAAAAAGCTGAAAAAAAACCCGCCAAAAACCACGAAAAAATTGAAAAAAACGCCAAAAAATCCCAAAAAAAAAGTGAAAAACCCACCCCAAAACCGCTGGGATTGAGCCAAAAATTCTGGGAATGCCCCGAAAGCGTCGGGAGTGCCCCAAAATTGCCGGAATTGGCCCCGATCTGACCTGCTCGGCGTAGAGGTCGTCGCGGTCGTGCATGTGCTGGTGCTTGCCCAAATCCGTGGTGATTTCGCCCACCTCGGTGTAGAACTGCACGTCCGTGTGCCGCTTCTTGCCGAACATGATGGCGTTCTGGGGGGAAAAAGGGGCAATTTGGGCAAAAGTCAAAAAAATCCCGGGTCAAAGTCCCGGAATTCTGGGTCGAAGACCTGAAATTCTGGGTCGAAATCGCGAAATTCTGGGTCAAGGGTCAAAATCCCGAAATTCTGGCTGGAAATCCCTGAAATTTTGGCCAGAAATACCAAAAATCTGGCTCAAATTCCCGAAATTCCAACTCTAAATCCCCGAAATTCCAACCCTAAATCCTGCAATTCCAGCTAAAAATCCCAAAATTCCAGCTTGAAACCCCAAAATTCCGGCTTGAAACCCCAAAATTCCGGCTCAAAATCCCAAAAATTCCAGCTCAAAACTCCAAAATTCTGGCTTGAAATCCCTGAAATTTTGGCCAGAAATCCCAAAATTCCAGCTCGAAACCCCAAAATTCCAGCTAAAAATCCCGAAATTCCAGCTCGAAATCCCTGAAATTTTGGCCAGAAATCCCAAAATTCCAGCTCGAAACCCCAAAATTCCAGCTAAAAATCCCGAAATTCCAGCTCGAAATCCTGAAATTACGACTTGAAATCACGAAATTCCGGGTCAAAATCCTGAAATTCTGGGTCAAAATCCTGAAATTCTGGGTCAAAGTCCCGAAATTCTGGGTCAAAGTCCCCAAATTCTGGGTCAAAATCCTGAAATTCCAGTTCGAAATCCCGGGTCAAAATCCCAAAATTCCAGCTCGAAATCCTGAAATTCTGGGTCAAAATCCTGAAATTCTGTCTCAAAATCCCGAAATTCTGGGTCAAAATCCTGAAATTCTGGGTCAAAGTCCCGAAATTCTGGGTCAAAGTCCCGAAATTCCGGGTCAAAATCCTGAAATTCCAGCTCGAAATCCTGAAATTCTGACTTGAAATCACGAAATTCTGGGACAAAATCCTGAAATTCTGGGTCAAAATCCCGAAATTCTGGCTGGAAATCCCTGAAATTTTGGCCAGAAATACCAAAAATCTGGCTCAAATTCCCGAAATTCCAACTCTAAATCCCCGAAATTCCAACCCTAAATCCTGCAATTCCAGCTAAAAATCCCAAAATTCCAGCTTGAAACCCCAAAATTCCGGCTTGAAACCCCAAAATTCCGGCTCAAAATCCCAAAAATTCCAGCTCAAAACTCCAAAATTCCAGCTCGAAATCCCTGAAATTTTGGCCAGAAATCCCAAAATTCCAGCTCGAAACCCCAAAATTCCAGCTAAAAATCCCGAAATTCCAGCTCGAAATCCCTGAAATTTTGGCCAGAAATCCCAAAATTCCAGCTCAAAACCCCAAAATTCCAGCTCGAAATCCCAAAATTCCGGCTCAAAATCCCCGAAATTCCGGCTCAAAATCCCAAAAATTCCAGCTCAAAACCCCAAAATTTTGGTAATCCCGTGGGGATTTCCCCAAAAATTCCAATTTTTGCCCAAAATCGCCGTTTTTGACCCCAAAATCCCAAAGTTCTCTCCTCAAATCTTCATGTCTTCTTTCACCCCAAAATCCCAAGAATTCAACCCAAAACCTCAGACTTTTGACCTCAAATCTTCGTGTCTGACCCAACCCAGGAGCTGCCCCGAAACCCCAAAGTTTCGCCCCAAACCCGCGGGGATTTCCCCAAAAATTCCGGGTTTTGCCCAAAATCGCCGTTTTTCGCCCCAAAATCCCAAGATTTCAACCCAAAATCTCAGACTTTTGACCTCAAATCTTCATGTCTAACTCAACCCAGGAGCTGCCCCGAAACCCCAAAGTTTCACCGCAAATCGTCGAGGTTTTGCCCCAAATTTGTGGGAATTTCACCAAAAATTCCAAGAATTCAACCCAAAATCTCAGACTTTTGACCTCAAATCTTCATGTCTAACTCAACCCAGGAGCTGCCCCGAAACCCCAAAGTTTCGCCCCAAACCCGCGGGGATTTCCCCAAAAATTCCGGGTTTTGCCCAAAATCGCAGTTTTTCGCCCCAAAAGCACCTTGAGGTGGAAGTGCAGCACGATGATCATCTCGCCGTCGCAGGGCTGGAACACGGCGTGCTTGATGTTGTTGTAGAGGATGTCGACCTTGTCGCCCCGCACCGAGGTGAAACGGAACCCTGGGCGGAGAGAAAACCCCAAAATCCGCGGAAATCACCCCAAAATCCTGGGGAGTCCCAAAATCCATAAAAAACACCAAAAAATCCAGGAAAATCGGCAAAAAATCAATGGAAACGGCCCCCGGCGTGCTTGATGTTGTTGTAGAGGATGTCGACCTTGTCGCCCCGCACCGAGGTGAAACGGAACCCTGGGCGGAGAGAAAACCCCAAAATCCGCGGAAATCACCCCAAAATCCTGGGGATGCCAAAATCCACGAAAAACGGCAGAAAAACCAGGAAAACGGGCAAAAAATCAATGAAAATGGCACCGAAATCCAGGAAAATCGACCCAAAATCCACAGAAATCACCCCAAAATTTACAGGAACCGACCCAAAATCGGCGGAAATCAACCCAAAATCCTTGGGAGTCCCAAAATCCATAAAAAAACACCAAAAAATCCAGGAAAATCGGCAAAAAATCAATGAAAATGGCCCCAAAATCCAGGAAAATCACCCCAAAATCCACAGAAATCACCCCAAAATTTACAGGAACCGACCCAAAATCTGCGGAAATCAACCCAAAATCCTGGGGATGCCAAAATCCGTGAAAAACGGCAGAAAAACCAGGAAAAATGGCAAGAAATCAATGAAAATGGCACCAAAATCCAGGAAAATCACCCCAAAATCCACAGAAATCACCCCAAAATTTACAGGAACCGACCCAAAATCTGCGGAAATCAACCCAAAATCC